TTTGGGAGCTGGAGAAGAAGAGCTTTCCCCCCGTAGCTCTCCCTCCCTCCAGGAGACAAGTCTTTTGTAAGGCCTAATGACTTCCCATGCTGCCTCTCCCTCTCCCTCTGGATGCCATCCTCACATGCAGTCTTTGGGGACCTCTCCTGAATCCCCGGGTGCCTCTGACACCCTGATGCTGCGGCTTCTCTGGAACTGCCCCTTGACAGCTGCTTGCCACACTGGGCCGTGCGGATCGCCTCCTCGGGCACTCACTTGCCTGCACAGCCGAGCTGCCTTCTGGCAGGCTGCTGTGGTTCTAGGTACCTCATTCTGGGCTAGCACAAACCCTGCTCTGTGTTCCCTCCCCTTTCACCCTCTGCTCCATCACCCTCCACACTCCCTTCCTCTCAACCAGCTTCCTCGACACTCCTGGCACGGCACGGCACGGCCCTGCTCTTCCTCCCACTTCTGCTTTCGCTACTTGCTCTCTCCCTTATCTCCTCATTCCTGGAGGCACCTTTCCTCCTTGCTCCCTGTCTCAGAAACCTTCCCCTTCTAAATCAGCTTAGAACAAATCCACCCCTGTGCTTCCCAGGTCCAGGCGAGTCGTGGGAGTGGTGGGGGTGGGATCTGCTTCTTCCCTACTCTCCATCCATCCAAACCTAATCAAGTCGTCTTATGATTTGCAGGGAGTTAGATTGAAGCAGGAGGGGTAGCGAGGGAGGGAGGGAATCTGAGCTTATCAGGTCAGACACACGACCCAGCCTGGATCTGCTTTTCACTGCGGATGCAAAAGAGGTAAAACAACCCCCTGGAGCAGGAAACCCAAGAGGCCTCAGAGGCTGTAGGGCACAGATTGAGCAGTGATCTGTACAGGCTTCCACAGCTTCCCTTCTCCTAATCACAGAGCCTGTGAGAGATGCCCAAGGAACAAGTGCTCCTGCCTGCCCGCTCCTAGCTCTTCCTTCTTCAAAATAACCTGCCTTGCTTCAAAGGCTTCCTCCATCCCTCTTGCCCCCTCCCGCCTGTCCAGTGATGCCCTGGCCTCGGCGAGGGCTGCCCTCCACCCTGCCACTCCTTCCCTCTGCAAGCCTTCTCTGGTCCTTCTCTCCCATTCCACGGGCCTGGAGGGCCTGTCCCCCAGCCTGTCCTGCACAGCCCTCCCATTTCTAAGTGGGAGCCTCAGCAGCCCGGCAAACCCCGCTGGGCCCCACCTGTGATACACGGCACCTCCCCGGCCCTCTGGATGGCAGAGATGAGGTTCCCAGCAGCACCGCTGGCCACCAGTGCTCTTACGCAGGCAACTCATGGTTTATTCAGGGGCGAGCTGGCCGCATTCCAGGGCCATGGTAACCAGACCCCGCCTAGCCAGCTCAGACGATGCAAAAAATGTGGGCTTGATCTTATCACTAGCCGGCTCATGTCCAAGGAAGCAAGTAGAGAGATTGAACTAGGACACCAGCCCTCATCTCACTTGTAGGGACGGGGGAGGAACACTTCTCCCTCCTGATGATTTTCCTACACGGGATAGGAACAGCTTTGGTGGAGCAGGACTTCTGTGCCTTTAACAGCTGCACATGGTAGGCAGGAAATCAAGGACATCAAGTGTCACCAAAGGACTTCATTTTGCCTCCTCATGACCATTTTATTTATTACATGTATATACCATTCTTTTCAAGGGGATTGAGAAAGCATGCATATCTTCCACTTTCGGTTTCTTCACAACAACCCTATGAGGTAGGTCAGGCTGAGAGATAGTGACTGGCCCAAGGTCACCCAAGGAGCTTGCTTTCTGGGCCAGCTCTACCCTTAGGCAAAGCAAGGCAGCTGCCTCAAGTGGCAGATGCTGAGGGACAATAAACAGTGAGAAAGTGTTGGAAGGCATAGCTCTGTATGTTGCATGGCTTGCTCTGCATTCCCTAAACCAAGAGTGAATTCCTTCTGTGGATCTGGAAGCCAATTTGGGAAACCCTAACTTTTTCCTGGTACAAAGTTTTGTGCTTGAAATACACAGAAATTGTGAGTTTCCCTGTGACCAAAGTGTAAATTTGAGGGGAAATGTTTGGACTTCACACGACATATGGGTAACAGAAGGGTATTCCTTGCATGAAGAAGCAATAAAGTAAAAAGCCTGAATCCCCTGAAGCTCTGCCATCTTTCCCATAGGCACATCAATCCAGCTTGGCAAATACACCTGTATTCATGCTGCCTGCATTGCCCTGTCCCCTCGGAGCAAACCATACAGTCAGTAGTGCCATCAAGGTAGGGCTTGGGGGCTTGGCAGGTGCGACTTGCTCTCACAGCCGTGCATTCAGGCCTGGACGGCTTTCCAGGGAGCTACGCCAGGTGCTCTCCTCAGGTCCTCAGAGCAAGACCCAGTTCCCTTCAAGCCTTCTTAGTTCAGAGTATAATCCTGTGCATGTGGAGACCGAAAATAAATCCCTACAACTCCTGGAATGCCTCAGCTAGCACAATCATGGTGTATCTTACTCTCTAACATAGGACTGCTCCGTCCATCTTCTAATGCCGGCTAATGGCGTATATTAATTGCAGCTGAATTCCAGAACAAAACAAAACCCTCTAGGATCTTTCCTGCCCCCAGTGGATCACGCATGAGAAATTGTAGTCCTTGACAGCATAACAGGGACAATCGTCCACTCCGACTGTAGTCTATACCCAACTAACAATAGTAGTACTTCATTTCACTGAGATCAATAAAACTTGGTATTTGTGATTCTCTGAACCCACTGAAAGTAGCCATTGCTGATTTTAACTGGATTTGGGTCCATATAATTGTATATGTATACGAATCCAATTCATTGAGAAAGTATTAAAGGTGTATGTGATACGCAACTTTGTAATAATGTTTTGTGGGTGTGCATATGAAACCACTCAAATATCCTCCCCCCACAATCTACAGAATGCAAAAACCAAACATGTTTGTTTGATATGATAATCAAGCAATGATTTATTTGGCCAGGAATCTCCCCAGCCAGACACTTTCGAACTTGACAGTGTAACATAATGAATAATCTCCTGCCCCACACACACACACACACACACACACACACACACACGCACCAGAGACAGCATCAGTGCACAAGGGGATGAAGGGAATGGAAAACAATGCCGAATGGGCCAGGTGCAAAAGGCAGTAAGGGTGCCCAGGGGAAGGGAAGGTGAGGGCAGCCAGAGAGGGCCCAGAGACGATGGGGCACCTGTCTCACAAGGGGGAGCTCGTCTCCACGGGCCCCACGGTGGCCTAACGACAGCGTCTTCACCCATGACCTTGACTGATATTGCAGTGCAGCACAGGTAGGGCAACTCCTGTTCAGTCCAGCTGCAGCTGGTTATGCTGACACCCACACCACCTACAGACTTCCTCATGCTCATGCCTTGCAGGCATTTCTGACTACAACTCCCAGCATTCCTGGTCATTCCCACCCCTGGATTGGCTGCCTGACTAGGGCCAGGGAGACACCGGCCAAGCTGCGGTGTGGGGCGTCCTGCTGCATGCTGTGGAAGGACGTGTGGTGCTGCTCCCCATTCCTGCCTCCGTCCCCCTGCAATTCCTCCACCAAAAAAGACTGCGTGGGCAGCCTCTTCAGAGAGCCACCCAGGCACAAATGCTGTGCTCCGAAAGGTCTCAAAGCAGGCATTGTGAAGAGCCCTTAAGCTCACCTGCGTGGCATCTCCCTCAGTGAGGGAAAGGGTGGGCAGTCTCTCCAGAAAATCTGCCCATCTGATGAGCTTGCCCACTCCATCTCTCACTCGGGCAGAGAAGCGAGAATGAGGGAAGCAGCTCCTAGGAGACCGATGGGCCACTCCTCCGTGGTTGCATTGCTCTGGGAGACAAGCCAGGCCAGTGTGACAACAACATTACCCACCAGGGCCCTCCCAGCGGGGTGTGGCCACACAATCCACCAGCCCTCCTTATCTGCTCATCCTCTGTGTGTGCCACCTGAGCAGGGAAGTCACCCTGCCGACTGGGACCCTTCCCTGGGCCACATCTCTACTCAGCCCTGAAGGTCCCTGGAGCTGCAAAGGAAGAAAGTCACATTCCTACAGGTTGGGGAAGTCTATATGAACAAATTCATTGTTATTCAGGAGTGGCTGTGCTGGCTAGAACTAGCGAGAGCTGAACACCACCCCCAAATATGGAGATTCAGAAGATGCCCAGTTCTGATCTGAAGAAACTATGTCCGGGATAATACCATATATAAATGCAAAACAAAGATTTATATAATGGATTTCCTAGCACAACTTTCCCCGGGGTGCTGCCTCCTGGATGTGCTGAGCTGCAACCCCCATGTTGCCTGGGAATGATGGAATTCTCATCCAACACATCTGGAGCATACAAGGCTGGGGAAGGCTGCGCTAGGTGGACCAAGGGTCTGACTCCGTTTAAAGCAACTCTGCATTTCCTGCCAACACATGGACAGATCTAAAGTAAATTCTTCCCAGAATCCCCATGCACCTACCTTGGATGCCTCTGTATTAACTTCCCGGTCTGTGATTATGAGGGAGTGGCCATGGTCCCTGGAACAGTAAGCTGGTTGTTAGTTGCCATCATGTCATCTCCACCTTATGGTGATCCTATGGATGAAAGCGCTCCAGAATGTCCTGTCCTTGACAGCCCTGCTCAGTTGTTGTGAACTCAAAGGTGTGGCTTCCTTTATGAAATTGATCCATCTCCCATTTGGTCTTCTCCTTTCGCTTCTACCTTCAACTTTCCCTAGCATTGCTGCCCTCTCCAGTGAGTCCTACCTTCACATGATGTACCCCAAATACAACAGCCTCAGTTTTGTTATGTTGCTTCCAGTGAAAGCTCTGGGTGAACTCTCTGCACATGTTCAGAGGCGCTTTCGTTAATTAGTACATGTTGTCCTCTAAATACACTGATCCCACCAGCATCTGGAGGCAGGGTCAGTGCGTGAGTGTAGGGAAGCCTTCGACCAGCCTGCCTTTAGCAGGACCCGGGGGAAACGCAGGACCTCGGGCACAAGGTCTTGGCGGTGCCTGCCACTTTAAGAGGGGCTCGTTCAAGGAATGCCTAGTGCCGCGTGACTCAGCAGTTTCGCCGCCGCGACGGACTGAGCCGCTTTGTTCCGACTCCAGAAGGAATCGTCCGCCTCGCTTCCGCTGCGCTTGGAACGGTTGCGGCTTCGACAGTGAGTGCTGCCCCCCAGCAACCCCCCTTCTGAAGTAGTGCTGGAGAAGGCATCCCTTTCCCGCTAGATTTTGGTGATAGAAGCTTGGCTCCCGTTTTAAGGGGTGCGGGGGAAGGTAGCAATTGCTGGGACCGAATAGATGGAGCCTCGCAGAAGGCAGCCTTCGTTCATGTGTCTGCTCAGAATTAATCCGTGATTAATTAATCAGTAGTCGCATTGACTATACAGGCGTGTATGGGATTGCAGCCTTAGGATCCTCAGGCATGCAAGTTGCCATGTGCAGTTCAGGGGACAGAAAAGGGGGCGGTGATGGCTTGCTAACAACCCTGTTCTTCTTTTCTCCTCGTTTTTCTTCCAGTGCCTGGCAAATGCACCATCACCTACTTTCCCGTTCGCGGTGAGTGCTGGAATGCCACGTACCTTTAATCAGAGGTTAACTTCACAGTCGCTTTTTGCTTTCGTTTTTATTCTTGACTTTGATTTTGTTTTGATTTTTTTCTTTATCTGTGAAATGTTACTGGTTTTATTTGTATATTTAACTATTAATTTAATGATTGCTAATTTGTTGGATTGTTGCTTTGATTTTTGTAAGCCGCCCTGAGATACTTTTGCATATAGGGTGGGGTATAACCAGGGCGTTTTTTGTCGTAGAACGCACCGGAACGGCGTTCCGGCACCTTTTTTTCCAATGGATTTTACGAAGTGATTTTGAATCGTAGCAGATCAGCAGCAAACATCATTAACATGGTGCCTGCGGGGGGGCGGGGGGCGGGGCTGGGTTTGTGTCCGCGATCTGATAGTGAGATATGGAGGGCGCTGCTCCTGCTCGGCTTGGGAGCTGCTCCGCTTGGGATTGGTGTGTGTGGTCGCGCGCTTACTGCCGGCGACGTGGGTTCAGGCACTTCTTTTTTTTTTTTTTTTTTACAAAAAAAGCACTGGGTATAACTATTTTAAAGAAATAAATGAATAAAAAATACTGGAAAGGACGGCGCTCAGAAGGCCTTTTCTTGTTTTTTATATTACTGGATGCAAAGAGTGGGGGCAGCTGTCGTTAAACTCAAGTATCTGGAAGCTCCATAATGCAAGAGATCCAACCAGAATTTTAAAAGAATGATAGATTTACAGCCTGGTCGGGTCTGTTTACTCGAAAGTAGGCCCTACTGAATTAAGTGGAATTGGCAGGGCACTCCTAACACCTGGGACTGCACCTAATTGGGGGGGGGGGAGGCAGTAGCTTGCTCTGTTGGACTGAGCCAGGTGAATGCGAAAGCCACAAATTCTTCATCAGTTGAGTTCCCAGTGTATTGGTTTGGCCTGACGTGTGCTGTATTGTGTTCTATTTTACTGGCAAAGTGAACGGGGAAGAGTCCAGCTCTTTACGACATCCCTGAGGATGGTCCCCTGAAGAACCTCCTCACTGGTGCTGTTGGGGTGGTACTTCAGAACAGATGTCCAGGGGTGCACTCAGCAGAATGAGCAGGAGAGCCTGGGAACACAGGCGGGCCGGTTTATCACATTTTCAAATAGACACATTACCCACAAGAGACCTCCACTCATAAGACACCCATTTGGTCCAGGGCACTGCTGAGTCTACTTTTATTTCTGCTTCACCTACAGGGCAGAATACTAGCCAGGATCTGAGGGGCCGCAGGATTATTATTATTATTATTTTGCATTTTCAGCTCCAAGTTTGGAGATAATGCTGCAGCCTCAGAACTTGGAATCTGCACACTGTTGCATCGAGCCAGGACAGAACCGCACTGGCTGCTCTCTAAAGTTGGGAAAGTGACCGCAGATGGGGGCAGGATGCAAGATATTCTGAAGCTGTTCCAGCTTCCTTCCCTACCCCTTTGCAATACTCCTGCTATATGAGCACAAACAAACAAAAAACTTTGTAGCAAAAATACAGAGTGCTGCTCCTTTGGATAGGATGCCTGTGAGCATTTGACTTCCATGTTGGATTCTGCCCTTTATCTGAAACCCATTTGCTACATACTTTCAGAAAGCTTATATACTGCAGGCTTGGCTACTTCCCCAAGGCATCCTTGTTGACTTTGAGATGGTGGAGCACCTCTGAAATCCATTTTATGTTTAAAGCAAGGTTGCAGAATCTCAGCCTGAGTGGCCCCGATTCATTCCTCTGAAGGAACCTTACAAGTTTGCAGTTGAAATCCTGGCAGTGGGAGAGACATCAAAATTAGGAAAGACAATGCTTTCCAGGTCTGAGTTAGTTTCTTATGCCCTGCTCTTAACCAGATTTACTCAGAGATAAATCTTCCTGTTGTTAGCTGGGACTTCTTAGAAAGACTCATAATAGATGTGATGGTAGCAGGCCCAGTTTCAATAAGGGGGATTTAAAGTGATGGGTGGATCAGGATGAAGATGACATGGGATGTGCCTTGGATGTCAGACTAGGACTGGGGAGACCACGGGACAGTTGTCACTCAGTCCAGTCTACCTCACAGGGTGGTTGTGAGCACAAACTGGTTGTGGTGAAAAACATGTACTCCACCTTGAGCTCCTTGGAAGAAACATGAGCTATCACTATAACTAAATGTGTTCCCCCCCCCCAACATTTCTTCCCCCCACAGCTGCTTTTCTCCCAGTTGGGAGTCAGCTCAGTAGCAGTCCACCGAGGGAAAAAGAATTGGGCGGAAGGGCTTCCAGCAGAAAAAGACCAGAGAAGGGTTCAGCCCTTCGAGCATAAGAACAGAAGGTGGAGTCTTAGGGCTGCGTATCTGCAGCCTAATCCTAATATTGTGTGAGTCAGATGCTGGAGAACAATACAAGGAGCCATTTTAAAATAAACCAGTCCTACCGTGGGAATGCTTATCTGCTTTAATGGCTGATCCTGAACGGTCTTGTTAACAATACCCTTGCCGCTCACCTGGGCTTCAACTTTTGCGCTCTTCCTCCTGTACTAGAGATGCACAGAAATGTGTTCCAGGCATGATGATGTGGGCTTCTTCCTCATAGGGCGTGGCGAGGCCATGCGCTTGCTGCTGGCTGATCAAGGGCAGGAGTGGACGGAGGATGTGATGACAGGAGAGATCTGGCAGAAGGGAGATCTCAAGAAATCATGTGTGAGTAAGGCAAGGTTGCGAGCTTGGCTTCATTGCAGGGGGTGACAGAGAAAAACGGATCCTGCCCATCTTTTCTGACTGGGCTTTGGTTGCTCCTCCTGACATACTCGAGCAGCTTTTCCCCAGACTTCCAGACACGTTTGGACTGCAACACCCAGAATTCCCAGTTGATGGCCCTGCTGGATGGGAATTCTGGGAGTTGCAGTTCAGATGCCTCTGAAGGCCACCAGGTTGGGGAAGGCTGACCTAGAGCAGGGGTGCAGAACTGCTTTCAGCCTGAGGGCCAAAGTCCCAGGGGAGGCTGCTGGCTCCAGTGCTAGAAGGGTAGAGTATCCACTCCAAGCTGCAATCTAAACTTTTAGGAGCCATCCATGGTGATAAACCCCATTCCCGAAATAGCTCCTTTAGTGCTTGGATGAAACCTCAGAGGGCCTCACTGGCAGTGACACCACCAGCCTCCTTTGTGCATTCCAGTGACGGAAAGGACTGAAGGGAAGAGGACCAGGACCAGAAAATACTGGCGTATACTTTAGCCAAACACTTTAAGAGAGACAGTTCAGTGCTTTAGAATGGGAAATACTGACAAACCTGTGAGACCACCAAATGATTAGTGACCAGGGGAAAGTGGATGGGGAAGGGGCTGGACTGGGGTCCCTTAGAGTTGGCCCCTAGGGACTGCACAGTGGTGTAATGGTAAATGTTTAGGTACAGCTACTTGTTATGGCAGTGCCCAAGCTACATGCCCAAGAAGCATCTTCAGGAATGTTGATCCATATCAACACACCTGTGCTAGCAATTTCCATGTCCAGCAGGTGCAAGTCTTTGCTAAACCTCATGAATCTTAATTGCCCAGTTAGCACCAGCTGCTGCCCCACCCTAGTTCTTTGCATTACAACAGGGAGCAATCCATGGTTGCTCTGGAAATCCATTTGTCCCCAGCTACTGGGGGGATTCGTGCTGAGCCCAAGGGGAACATGGAAGTCTGACGGTGGTGGCAGCTGATAGCAGTGCCCCCCGCAGATAAAGGCCTGCCAGGGCTGTGTCCCTGTGAGCAAGGGCTGTGCTGCATTGCTGCTCCTACTCTGCAGATCACAACCTCCCCACCCAGGTCCCCACTTCATTGAGGGGTGTAGATGCAGCATGGCTAACCATCCTCCTTTCCCCACCAGGTCTTCGGCCAACTGCCCCGGTTTCAGGATGGAGACTTTGTACTGTTCCAGTCAAATGCTATCCTGCGCTACCTGGCGAGGAAACACGGTGCGGTTTGGATATGTGGGGCAATAGCAGGGGTGCATGGAGCTGGACCTGTGACAAATCTGTCTGCCTATCGCCTCTTCAAGGGGCTGTGTGTGTGTGGTGAAGTTGCACGCATGTGAGTGTGCCTCCCTGGTGTGTTGGCAGAGAAAGTGGTGAGTGTGCTATGGTGGCAGCGGCATGAGAGCTCTGTTGTGTAGCCATGGCAAACATAGAAGAGTAAGGTAACAGGCAAAGCTAAGAATCAGAGAATGGACCACAGTGGTCATAATGCATACTGGGAAGTGCGATAGCTTAGTGGCAGAGCACCTGAAGTGCACGCAGGTGCAATCCCTGGCATCTCTAGGTAGGGCAGGAAAGACTTCTGCCTGAAACCCTGGAGAGCTGCTGCCAGTCAGTGTTGACAGTATGGGGCTAGATGGATGAGTGGTCTGACTCTTTCGAAGGCAGCTTCCTGAGTTCCTATGAACTATGTAAACATTCTGAACAAGAAATGAAAATTGCGTTAGGATCCAAGTTCTTCACTATCGGGGCAGCAGCCTGTGTGAAAGTGGATACATGTTTGGTAGCGGGAATGTACATTAACTCCCGACCCCCACAGAAAGCAACAACTAGGTGTGAACACGTGTTCGTGTGCACATGTATGCATACAAGTAAAAGCACCCAAGCACATGTACGTGCCTATAAGAGAATGGGGCTGGATGTTAAGATGCCCCCTTTCAACCTTTTTTCTTTGTTATTCAGGACTCTATGGCCAAAATCCACAGGAAGCAGCTCTGCTGGACATGGTGAATGATGGAGTGGAGGACCTGCGTGTGAAATACGCCCGCTTAATTTACCATAACTATGTAAGCAGGGGTGCTGAAGAGGGTCTCTGTGCTTCTCGCCATTAGAGTTGCCCCATTTATGGTTTTTTGGAAACTTTGACAATCCCAAGAAGAATGGGTGAGGAAGGCCGAGACCTCTTAGGGGAGGCAATTTTAGTGGGAGAATGGCCTAAATCAACCTTTCCCAACTTGATGCTCTCCACAAGGTTTGGACTTCAGTGCCCATCAGCATTCCTGGCCAGTGGACAGGAAGGCAGGAAGTTGCCATCCAAAATATCTAGAAGGCCATGTCAGGGAAGCCCAGCTCTTTGCATTTCAGTATCCAACCTGAAAAGTACAGTGCAGAACCCAATTAAATGAGCGTATGGTTCAGTTGAACTCCTGCCTCTTGGGATTGGGGAATGGTTTCACCATGAGGGTTCCTGTAAAAGTGACAGTGAAACTGGAGGAGAATAGAATCATAGAATCATACAGTTGGAAGGGGCTTAGAAGGCCATCAGGTCCAACCCCCTGCTCAGTGTAGGACTCAAGCCTCCCATCCAGCTTCTAACCATGCCTGACCCTGCTTCGCTTCCAAGATTAGGCAGGATCAGGCACTTCAGGCTATACAGAACCATCTTCTCCATCACTGGACTCCATTTCAGCCAGTGTGGTGCAGTGGTTAAGAGCATGGGACTGGGGCTCAGATGACCTGGGTTCAAGTCCCCGCTCGGCCATGGAGCCAACTGGGTGACTTTGGGCCAGTCACAGACTCTCAGCCCAACCTACCTCACAGGGCTGTTGTGGGGATAAGATGGAGGAGGAGAATGATGTAAGCTGCCTTGAGGCCTTCGTAGGAAAAAGGCAGGATATAGATAGATAGATAGATTTCTTCCTTTTTCTGAGGGTGTGGGTGGAAGTACTTCCTGTAAGAAAAAAGCACACTGGGGAGCCAACAGGTCAAGGTTCCTTGCCTCCACTGCAGTGGGTCCTATCAGCCAGGGTCAGAGGGGAAGTAGAAACAAAGGATGCCATCCGAACTCTACTTCTGCACTACCCACAGAGCTCTGGGCCTAGCTGTATCCATTCACCCAGACTCCCCTTTTCCCCCGAGGGGGTGAGATAATTGGGTTCTGTGGCAGGGAGGAGGCAAGCTTGGGAGCAGAGGGGCTTTTCTCTAAGCTAACCGCTGTCCCTTGACAGGAGGCAGGCAAAGCCGCCTATATTGAAGCCCTGCCAGGGGAGCTGCGTCCTTTTGAGAATCTTCTGGCTCAAAATGATGGAGGAAAAGCCTTTATTGTAGGCAAACAGGTAAGGTGGCTACTTAGCAGCGATGGATTCTGGCTTGGCTGGATTATGGATCTTACACTGAGTGGTGATAATTCAATGACTCTGCTTTTATCTCATCATTCTCTATTGCCACTACCTTTGGTAATGGAGGGATGTACTGTCTGTATTCGAAGCAAACCTTCCCTCCACTCTTTTCTGTATTTTCCCCTTCACCCTGGCTGAGTTTTCCTGTTCCTTCACTGAACCTGCGAGATACCAAAGTTACATATTGCCTGATGCTTCCACCCATAGCTCTGTCCTTCAGTATCTTATGCTTGTTTTCTACTTTCTAGACAAAGTCCAGCAAGACATTTATGGCCCTGCTGATTCTCTTCTTGTTACTTTTGACCGACAGTCCTGCCTTCAGGATTCTGCCAACAGAATCAATCCTGTTGATTCCCTATTTGCAAGCTGTGGGACTTGCTAATTCCATGGGGCAAACAGGTCCTGCTGTTCATTCAGTGGCAATTTCAGCACTTCCAGGGCAGTCCAAAACAAGTGGAAACACTTGTTTCTGGAAGAGGAAGCAGGTTAGCAGAGCTCATGTTAAGGAGCTTTGTTGTCCTGCCTCCTTCCAGAAATCAGTGTTTTTGCATGCTTTGAGGCTTCCCTAGGAAGTACTAAATCTCCCTTGCATAACCTGCTGGTCCCACTTGCACAGTGGAATTGGCAGGTCTTATTATTTGCAAGAAGGGAATCAGTGGGGTGAAGAGAAATTGGCAAAGGCAGAAGTACCCATTGGATTCTGCCCCCTCTGTCTAGTCCTGCTTGTAAAAACCTATCTTTTCCATAGGGAAGCTCAAATCCTGTGGTTTGTGTAAACCACACAGGGTAGTATTTTTTTGAGAATTTTTTGAGAATGTGGCATCACTGCTTTCTTTTTTCCTTTTTATTAAAAACAAAACAACTCTAATAAACAGAGCAAGCTAAAATAGACCAAGTTGCCAAGGGAATTCAATACAGATCCAAACTGCTTTTTATTTTTCAAAGTGAAAGCTGAGATGCTCAGGGAGCTGGAGTCTGCCCAATGCCCCAGTTTGCATTTTTCTGCAAACCCAGGGAACTGCCTCATACACAAAGCCGAACGTCCCCTACCATGGTAATGTGGTAGATTTGACCCCCAGAAAAACTTGCCTTCAGGCCATAGGGACCTTCTGTACGGTGAGCTGGATCTTGGTCTGTCTAGTATTGGTGACTTGGGTACCAGCAGCTCTCCAGAGTTTCAAGCAGGACATTTTCCTGTCCAACCCGAGGATGCTGGGGATGGAACTCTGGCCCTTCTGCATGCAAAGTGTCTTCTCTGCCACAGCCCTGCACTATTCAGACTTAGTTGGCCTTCCATTTGCATTGCACACGCACAAAACTTGAGTCAGGGACTGCTTCAGTAGAAGCTAAAACTATTGAACTGGCCCAGGTGTGTTCACAACTGTGTGCTGCAGTCCAGATTACAGCCGAACAATACAAACGTCCCCTCTGCTTGATCTAACTAGTGTATCCAGGGATAACAATGAGGATGTTTTACACTTGCCGCTGCTTGCCTTGGCACATGTCTCTTCTGCATTCTCCGCCAGATCTCCTTTGCAGACTATAACCTGCTCGACATTCTACACATACATCTGGTCCTGGCACCTGACTGCCTGGCTTCCTTCCCCCTGCTGGCTGGCTATGTGCAGCGGCTCAATGCCCAGCCACTCCTCAAGGCTTACCTGGAGTCGGATGCCCGTAAGCAGCGTCCCATCAATGGGAATGGCAAGCAGTGAGACTGATTCCTGCACCTACCTGAATTCAGTTTCTTGGTAGCAGCTGAGTCTTTGAAGTTTGGTAGATTCTGATACTAATAAAACCAGTTTCTAGAAGATGTCCTGTGTCTCTTTGCTGGGAGGGGAAAGTGACAGAAATCTGCAGAAGGCAGCTGTAATATAGGGAGGGACCGTTAAATGTCTGACTTAAGCAAGTTAGGTTCAGGTTCCAGCTGACTGGCTGATTCCTGGCTCTTTCCCCTTGTGGCAATAGAATTCCATGCCAGGAGCTTCAGCTAGCCAGCCACAGTGATCATTGGTCCTCCCATCTTCCTGTTTTTAAAACGGGTCAGTATAGTCTTGGGAGTCCCTGATTTAGGGTGGAACTGTGCCATGCAGGCTCATCCTCTCTCCACGCTGCTTTTCCCCTTTAAAATAAGAGATCTGACCATAAATCTTCCCCATTTCACGCAGATGCACTCCAGCACTTTCCCAACTAGAACTACACATCCATTTTGATGGTGGTGGTGTTGGAACTTGATTTATTATTTACTGAATTTGTCTAAAGGTGCCCATTACCAACATGCTTTCTAGAAATATTCAAGCCACTTTCCCTGTGATTGAGTTACCATAGCCTGCACTGCACTGGACAGCTGAAAGCTCATAAAACTGCCTACCATTGGTCCTAGCCAGGTGCAACAATTTCTGAATTTCCTGGGGGAAAGGAATCCCTGCTCTGCTGTGAAAGCCTTGAGCAATTGACTTTCATAAGTTTTCCCAGACTTCCCAAACTGGTGTCCTGCAAATGTTTTGGGTTACAACTTCTACAGTCCTAGTTAGTGTGGCCAGAGCTGATGGAAGTTACCTGATGTTGGATAACACCTAGAGGGTACTAGGTCTAGCTGATCTTACTGTGAGTGATATAAGAATGGGGATTTTTTTAAAAGGCTGCAACTATTCTCATTTTTAAAAATCAGAAAACAAATCACACTAGTGCCTGAGGACTGAATAATTTTAACAACATGTGCTGGCCCATTGGTGAGCTCGTGATAAAATGCTGCAGCCTCACAAGGAGGAGATAAGGAAGAGCAAAGCCTGGGAAAAGGAAAATGCTGCCATAACTGCAAAGGACGGGGCTTCATGGGGCAATGCATTTTCTCTGAAACCATCTTAAACTGTAAATTCAGTATAAGGAGGGGAAGAGGGCATTTTATACTTTGTGGAGGAGACAGCCAGGTTGGCCGACCAGTCGGCCTCCTAGCTCAGATCAACAACAAGCAAGCGTTGGTGTACAGATCACCAACCCAAGAGCATGGTAGTCGCTAGGGTAAATACCTGGAAGCAAGGCTGAGGAACCCACCAGAGGGGCTGCCGTTGTCCCCGGCTCCCAAACATCTGCCACCTGAGGCAGCAGCAGCCCCATTTTGCCTCATGATGGGGGTTGGCCTGTCTTTCGAGTGCGTGTTGGAATGGGCGTGCTTCAAGAACAAGGCAAGGCAGGAGGGGCCCTCCTTGGTGACTTGGAGCAGTTCCAAACAATTGTGCTAGCCAGGGGCCTCCTGCAGGACACTCCAATATAATGGGATCATCCTTCTCAGACCAAGAATCAACAGGATCAAAGAGATCAGCTGCATAATCCTCCTGGCAGCATAGCTCAACAGCTGTTTGAAAATGAGGCAAACTGGCAAAAGCCAGGCTATTCCGGAACTGTAGAAGATGGTGTGTGCTGTCAGGTTATCTTCTAGCCCTTCCTCACTGGTCCTAGCTCCATCACCAAGGAAAAATGTATTGCTGACTTGCCTAGCACCAGATGTGAGCTCGATCATACTCAGAACACACAACTCTGTGAGCAGGAACTTAAGAATGCAGAAATGGGGTAAGTAAAGTGATAAAGATAAAACATTGTGAAGGAATGAAGCAGTCCAGCATAGAAAACAAATGAGAACAGGATGCGAAGTCTAGAAAATATAGGCGCAGCATTGAAAAAAGTAGCATATAAAAGGTATAACTGAACAACTGAAATTTGGCTCAGAGTACACATACAAGTATTTCTTCATAAACAGATGGGATTTATCGCTGCATTATGTTCTGATGAGTGCTAGCAATTTTTAAAGGACTACTTGAGAAGGTGATTATCATGCCTATTGATGCCTGTTAATTGGGAAAAGTGAAGAGTTTTACCTTTGATGACTGGATACTGATGACAAAAATCAGGAGACATCTATCCTTTTTCATATACACTTTTCATATACATCTATCCTCCATATACACTTTCCTGAAGCATCTGGTCACAGGTAGTGCTACTGCTTGTGTCACATCATGGTAAACCCCATATTTGCTCCTGATCTATGCAAATCAAGCAGGGAGTTGTGGCCAGTCCCAGTTCCCTAGCAAGTGTACCTGTTTCAAAAGATGCCTGGATGTGTAAACAGAAAAGGGGACCTAATTGTTAACCAGAACTAAAATTGAAAATAAATGTACATTGGCAGATTTCCTTATGATAGGATGTTTGAATAGTAGTCAAGCAGTAGGTTCTTAAGTATGTATACTCAGGAGTAACACCCACTGAGTTTATATACAGTACCTAGGATTGCAACATTTCAGCCCCAAGTCCAGCGCATTTTTAAGAAAGCCCCACTACATTAGTACTTTAGACTCCAAGTATAGCTGTAATTTTATACCCACAATTACTCGTCACAATAAATCCTACCGAACTCAATGCTATGGGTCCAATAGTACTGCAGCAATGCAACCTGATCCTAAGACAATGGTGTTACTCTTTGGTGAATATGTTTGGCATTAAAGCCTCAGTTTCAAGAGGCATCAAAATCCAAGTCTGCCTAAGCAGCCTGTAACTACCCCTGTGCTTTGGAAGCTGTTTTATGATAGGTATTCATCCAACAGGGTGACCAGAATCACCATTCTAAATGTATTTTCACTTGATAGCTTTACACTGCACAAACATAGTTATTTGGAGGTAAGTCCAAAGGGTTTTTAAGGGACTTTCAATAATCAACTCTTACATGATCTTTCCACAGTTCTTGCCTCTCTAATCCAAATGTAACTGTGACCACATTCATTTAAAAATGGCACAATCTTATATATGTTAATTCAGAAGCGCCCCTGAGTTCAAGAAGGACTTATTCCCAGGCTAGTGGGAATAAGATTGCAGCCCCACAGTGCAATTTTACGCATGTCTGACCAGAAATAAATCCTGTTGAGTTCAATGGGACTTCTGGGTATGCATTAATATTTACCCATACAAGGCAATGGAGTCTTTGTCAGGTGCGTGTGTGAAAATGTCCTAAGCATGAACCTAATGAACTTCAGGTGTTCAGTAGTGACAGAAAGGCGATCTGCACATCCTCAAGGGTACTTTTATCGACGTCTTGGATTTCTTGCACAAGAGGAGAAACGGTCAAATAGACTGTACATCAGCTCTGCGGAGACTCGGTCTTGGTATTGAAAGCAGGCTCCCACTGTGCCGTTGGAAAGGACTAAGGATGCAATCCTATGTAAGGTTTAAGGGGGGGGGAAGGCCTACAACTCCCAATATGCCCCAGTAAGCTGGTTGGGCTATACTGGGAATTGTAGGCCTTATGGGTCTCTGGGACATGCTGGGAGTTGTAGGCCTTTTTAAAATCTACGATTGTATGGGATTGCACCTCTAATTAATGGATTTCTTGGTTAACTGTTTCTCCTTGAGTGCCTTCACGACGATTTTGTTTGGCGTTTACTGTATCTTAACAGTCAGCTGAGTTTTCCCGGTATCGTGGGACTCCGCCGTATTTGACTTGCAGGCACAAATGAGACGCTCAAGCCCTCATAAAGCGAAAGCACGACTGAACTACAACTCCCGTCAACACCCGCTCCTAAGGCTGCCGGAAGGGCATTTCCCTTCTTGTTCGGGCTGAATGACATCAACAAATAGCGCCTAGCGTCGTGACGTAGGATCGCTGCGCAAAACAGGTGAAGGTGACGGGGTCGGTAATCTTGGCTGGGGGCTTCTCCCGGCTTCGCTCCAGCGCTATGTTGGTGGCACGGCCTCTGTGGTTGCGCGGGGCCTGCACTCAGGCTCGCTTCCTTTCCGCCGCTGCTGCTCCGGAGTCGGTGAGTTCTGAGTAGCGTTGCGCTCTTCAAGTTGTGGGAGTGGAAGGAGGTATGTAGAAATGACAGACGGGTGCTGAAGAGGAGGGGCCTTGAAACGTCTATGTTTGGTGACTTGCCTTGATTCCATCAGGTGCATTTTCGTGACCCCTTTTGACAGCTTAGCTGCTAGTCCCTCTTTGATATGAAGATGGAAAGTTGCTGGGCCTCTTTACAAAAAGAGGCTTTTGTTTCCTAAGCTGCAACTGCTTAACAAGGTTTAGGATGGGATCAGAGGCTGTAAACAACTTTCAGTTGCCTTTTTTTTTCTTTTTCTAGACACCCCCTAAGAAAACACAGTTTGGACCCCTCAAGGATGAGGATCGCATTTTCACAAATCTTTATGGACGCCATGAATGGAGGTGAGAGTTGACAAAGTGGTGAGCGTTTTGTGCACTGATGAGGGTGCTCCAACAGTTTGTAATGGAATGTAGAAAGTCAGTGCGTGCAAAAAAAGTTCAGCTCAGGAATGCAATAACTTTTTTTTATAAAAAACAATACATGACCTCTTAATAAGCTGCCAGAAGAATTTTTAGCATAGCCACCACATTATGATCAGCTACTTCTCTATGCTTTAATCAAGCACAGATTACTATTGTAATTACTTTGGTTTCTGTAGCTTTGTAGGTTTGGAATACATTTGGAAAGCCCTTCTTATCCATTTTTTTGTTGCTTCTAGATTGAAAGGGGCTTTGAGCCGTGGTGACTGGTATAAAACCAAGGAAATTCTGCTGAAGGGTGTTGACTGGATCTTGAATGAGATAAAGACTTCAGGCCTAAGAGGACGTGGAGGAGCTGGTTTCCCCACTGGCCTCAAGTGGAGCTTCATGAATAAGCCTCCAGATGGCAGGTAAGTTGTGGTGGGGAAAATGCACTCTAGTGTCAAGTTCATGCATGTCTGTTCATGGTCAAACTGCCTGGAACAGTTGTCGGTTCTCCTGTGATCTTAAAAACAAGTCTGTGTTGGCAAAGG